ATGACTGAGAAGGAAGAGCAAGTTTTATTTAAAGGGAGATGTCTTTATACCTTATGTTTATGCCTTAAAAATCCATTACTTATAGTCCAGATTGAGGATGCTGGGGGGGGGGATTCTTTATCTGTATTAGCTTCCTTCTCCCCAGAGGAAAGGAGAGTATGTTCTAAATGAATAAGCTGGAAAAGCTACAACGAAGCCTCAACATAATTATTTTGGTTTTTCAGGTCTCTTATTGTACTGAAGCACCAATTCAGATCACAAAATCAGGCCCTTTAGCTAAAAGAATGAAATAGAAATGTGGCTTTTTTCTTTATTATAGGTGGCACACAGACTGAATGGTGATTGGATGATGGCATTTCACACACACAATCATACACAATGTAGGAAACAGAAATGAAGCACATCACTGGCAACCAAATCCAGATTTGCTTCAAAAATAAATCAGAGTTGACAGCTGAATGTGTGTGAGTTGGAAATAATAATTATTACCAGAAAGCTCTCACAGTGGTAAACCCCATCTGTTTTTCCTTTCGTTTACATATGTTTTGAAAGAAGGAGAAATGGACTGTTAGTCTTTTTTTTTTTAATGCAGTTAAAAGAGCCATTGTTTGTTTTAACTTTAGAGAGACTATAGAGGTACTGCAACCCAAATGTTAACGGCATGGAAAATAAATTAGATATGCTATTTGAAACTCTTATCAGTAAAAGATAGTGTAGGATTTTTATGTAGTGTTTTAAATATTCATGTATTAAAAACAAAAGCAGAACCAAAAGAGGAAGAAACAGCATAAAATCAGAATGAAGTATACTGCTGTTGTAAACACAAAATACTGCTTTTCTGTAGCATTTGTTCTTCTTCCGTCTGGATATTATCAAGTTATATTCCATGTATGAAGCAACACTTGTTTGGTTGGTTACTAATAAATTTCATATCTGCCTTCAAGACCAAAGCCTTGAAAGTTAGGACTGAAAGTAATCACTGTGCTTCAGCCCAGAAAACAATTAATTTCAATCTGGAATCTTAACCGTTTATACTTAAGTATGGTCTTTTCAGAACATGGCCTTCACTACCCTCTTTTTCTGGCACATCACTATGAGCACGGCAATGAAAAAGAAATGGGGCATTCTCCTAAAATCTTTAAGAATGTGTCGAAAATTAATTATGCACATACTGCAGTTTCCATCCTCACCATATTAATTCTGCATCACTCCAGTGCTCCAAAGGTTATATTCAGAAGAGAATTCAGGAATCTCTACAACCATAAACTGTTCTGACTCAATGTCCATGGGTTCCCTGATCAAGGTTCTCCTCCAAGAATGAAATTAAGCACTCATGCATCTAAAAAAATCAATTTCTCTACCATACAATCAACAAGAATTTCAACATATAACAAATAATAAAACAGGATGCCTCAGGTTCCTGCTAATATCTAAGAAAAATCAGCATATCACCCATGGGAAGGGTGTATCATTGGCATCCACCCATTGGAAGGGCAAAGAGAGTTTCATGACATACTTTGGGAAGCAAGCACAAAAAAGTGGTATTTCTTCACCTTGTTTATTTATTTGTTTGTTTATTTATTAATCAAATTTGTCTGCTGTTGCAATCATAAGACTTGGTGGCTAAAAACAAAATAAAATATAAAAAGCTTAAGATAGATAAAACCCAAACAAAACATGAGATCATGCCCCTAAAACCCTCAGGAAAAACAAGCCTTTAGTTTTTTCTATCAGGAGATCATTCCAGAGAGTTGACCTCATCACAAAAAAACAAAACAAAAAACACTTCCAGGTTTGCCCCCCTCTGCCCCCCCAAAATGGCAGACAATTAGATGCTTCTTTTGGCATGTGGTTTGGCTGATTCTAGTGGGGATATGAAGTCCTGCAGATAATCAGGCACCGAGGCATATTTTCCTAGATGTTATGTTCTTAGCATGGGCATCTGTAGGCAATGTTGTTAACATGAGATCAAAAACAAGAAATCTTTTTTCAGAAAAAAGTGATATTCCAAAAAAAGTGGACTAGCAGACAAATAATAAGATGTAGATATTTTCATATGTTTGTCTCATCCTGCAATAAATCCAGGGATAGCTTAAAGTATGTATTCATATTTTAATGACACTAGAAATAGAACTTACGACATAATTAATGCATTTTGGGGGGAAAAAGCTCTCATGCTGTCAGAAATTTTAATCTATATTTTATGCCTATGTTCTTTATTTGAGGCACTTTCCAGATGTCTGAAAGGTCAGTGTTATACATTTAAGCCATTGCAGATGACAGCTAAGGGTAGAGCAACTTAACACAATGCAGTCTCTTGAATATTTTAAGTTGCTTGTTGAATTCTCAGGGATACCTGTGTCAGGTGAATTCCAGACACTGTCACTTAGCAAAATGAGTTGCAATGGAAGTAGTGTGAGATAGTGAAAAAGAAATTCTCCCCTTTGGGCGATGGATTCACAATTATTCATAGTTATCATTCCTTGTAGAAGTGAAGGATTACCGTCCTGCTGTCTTGCTTCAGAGGCAGAACAGACATTAATAATGCCAAGGAACAGGAATGGTCTTCTGGCCTAAAGCAAAGTTGCTTGCAGTTGGCCAGGAAAATGCTCTCAGCCTGATGCCGCGGTAAAGATTGTCATTTCTTCCTTCATTCTACCTACACCAACATAGCAAAAAGTGTGCACAGAACACAATCAATCAGATAGGAGAAGCAATTTTCCTGGGCACCCTGTGATACAGAAAATGGTGCTTCATGCTCTGGAACCATTTCTCATTGTCCATGTCACTGATTAATTAAAGGTAAAGTTTTAAGATGTGCTCAAATATAAGCTGATGCTCATTAAGCAGACCAATTAATTGGCTGAAGCTTGAATCTCTACATTTTACAAATGAGTTAAGGTAAAGCTGAATGGAAAAAGAAGCCCCTGAATCCAAAGAATTCAGACTAAGAAAAGTTTAAATGCAAACCTTTTTTATTCCAGCGAGAAGCAAGGAGTGGATTCCAAATTGGGAGAACCAGGCTGAAGGATTTTTTTTTCTCCTGTGAAGGTTTTTTTTTTTTCCTCCTGGGCTAAAAGGGAAAAATGGAGTCATTAATTTGAAACTTCAGTCCTGGGGAAGGAAGATCTTCTGTTCTGCCCCATACAGTTTTAGATTGAATGGTGGTATCTCCCCATTCAAGAGCAGGTAGTGGCAACTTAACCACCTGCCCCAGATGGAAGTCTTTCACATAGGGGAACAACTGCACATTGCAGAATTGAGGCAGAGTAAGTGAGAGTGTAGAGTTTCAGTATGGGATCTGGCAGGCTTGCGTTATGTATGATAGATGCCCAGTTAAAATGCCTATGACTTCTTTGTGTAACATCTGTTTCTTTTATATATTTTCTAAATCTAGAAATGTTTTAGGTGGTTTTTCAGAAATAATGTTTCATTTAATGACATCTTTTCCCAATAGCACAATCCACTATTTCCATTCCATATCATGATCTTGAACACCCTGATTTGCTAATGAGGATTTAAAAAGTTTCATTTCTTAGCTTTCTCCAGTTCTTCTCTCCCTGGACCATATGGCATTATCTTATAAATTATAAAGTGTAGAAGTGTCGTGGAATTTTGCCAAAGAAAGGAGCACAATACTGAGGAGAAGAACCACGTTTATTGCAATGATCCTTGGGTGCCTGCTTTAGAAGAAAGAGGGGCCCCTAACAATGGAAGAGCAAAGATTTTTATAAAAGTTGAAGGCTACAAGGCAGGAAATCCTAGGGATCTGATTGGCTGGTCAGTTTGGGGAAGCTAGGCAGGTCCTTGTCAGTGTACCTGGGGTAAGTTCTATTGTTAGGCAAAATGG